AAGCTCATATGCAAATTGTCCCCTCAGGCAGTGGTTCGACCAGGAAGTCGACCAGAGACCAGGAGTTCAATTGCTTGCTATGATGTGCGCTAACCATCGGGGGCAGCGTGGAATGAAGGAAGGCCCCAGCCAGCAGCTAGAAGGCCCCAATTGGCCCTGATCGCTGGCCAGGCGTAGGGACCCTATCTGTTATCCGTGAATGAATTTCGTGCACCGGGCCTCTCGCGTAGTCATAAAGCCTCAAATATTTACTACCTGATTCTTAAAAGAAAAGGTTTGCTGACCCTGTAACATAGGTATTAAACAAGATAATAGGTAACTGCTCAAAATGGCAATCTGGCCCTGTCGGTGTGGCTCAGTGTTGACCTATGAACCAGGAGGTCAGGCTTTGATTTCCTGTCAGGGCACATGCCCAGGGCACCTTTCTGAAGTGATAGAAATAGATATTCTGTCTCTTGATTGCATTCTAGACAGGATACAAGGCTGTTATAGGTGGGTCCCCTCATGGTCCAGTGCTCTAGATGACCCAGGGAGGTTGGGCTGTGACCCTTCCCTCAAGGGCCATTTTGGGGGCCCAGAGACTGTTGTATACGGCAATAAAGAAACTGCCGTTTAAGGGAAATAAATTTCTAGCCACAGCTAGAAAGCAGGTTCATCTTCCCTCTTGGTGAAGCCCGGGATCCGAGGTAAGACAAGCACGCTGGCCACGCCCCCTTCCTCACCACCACAGCCACGCCAAGGTCCCGGGCCAGGGTCTTCAGCTCCAAGGCCAGCTGCATCATCAAGGCCAAGCCTGGAGGAGCAGAGAGGGAGGGAGCAGGGCATTAGGGACTGGGCTGGCTGGAGACTGGACTCCAGAGCTGGGAGACAAGGTCACATCTCTGACCCTGGGCTCTGCCACACACATCACTCACCTTCCCTCTGCTGACCTCCCAGAAGTGGGGAGACCACGGCGGTGACGGAGTCCACAATGACCACCTTCACCGTTCCTGAAGAATGGCTCACCTAAGGGGTTGGGGGGAAGCAGGTGTCATCAACCACTTAGCCTCTAGGGGCCGCCCATTACAACACAAGCTTGATTCTAATATAAACTGGTAACAGCCCAACCAGTGTGGCTCAGTGATTGAGCAACCACCCCACCAACCACATGTCCAGGTTGCGGGCTCAATCCCCAGTAGGGGCGTGCAGGAGGCAGCCGGTCAATGATTCTCATCATTGATGTTTCTATCCCTCTCTCCCTCTCCCTTCCTCTCTGAAATCAATACAAACATTTTTTTTAAAGAAACTGGTGAGAACCTTCCCTGACCAAATACAGCTATGCAGGTATCATCCAATTTCATCACTATCTTTTTCCCTCAATCTCATTTGTACGTATAAGAGATTTTACTGAAGTTTTGGGCAGATAGAGAAGGTTTAAATCACAGGACGTCCCAGATACCCTAAAACCATTAGATTTAAGAAATCCCTGTTCAGCGTTGTGACCCCTGGTCAGGGATTTTCTTAGCGGCCACCTTTCTCCTTA